CTTTCCTGCCCATCCCCCCCCCCCCACCCCCACACCCGATTAAGAAAATCAAAATATGTCCATGATATAGCCCAGCTGGTGTGGCTCAATGAATTGAGTGTCGTCCCACCCACCAAAAGGTCGCTGGTGGATTCCCCAGGCCCAGGCCCAGGCCCAGGCTGCGGGCTCCACCCCCAGTAGGGGGCCTACAGAGGCAGCCAACGGATGTCTCTAGCTCTCTCCTTCTCCCTTCCTCTCTCTCTAAAATCAATACCACCATATTTTTAAAAGTTTATCTGCCTCATTAAACAACCATATCCATGATATAAAATTCGAATAATATAGAAAAGTAAACAAAAATCGCCCCAGTTCCTATGACGCAAGGATAGCCCTTAGGCATTTCCTGTTGTCACTCGAACTAGCTGACTTTGTGATCTTGGACTCTGCACATTCTCGTTTAATCTACTGCGAACCAGGGCTTCGTTATCCCGTTTAACATCCGGTCCCTGACACCTTGAGCCTTGTTAACAATGACACAGTCTTTAGAACTTGAACCTGTGTACTTTGCCCTCTTGATAGTCCCTGGTAGTGTGTGTGTGTGTGTGTGTGTGTGTGTGGCCAGGTCACCTTGTACTCAGCTCTGAAATCTGCTTTCCCCGTTATCAGAACTCCATGATCACTTTCGTTTCCTTCCCTTTTCTGTTTTCTGTTGTCGCCTGTTGAGTGGCTTCCAGGTGCTGGCCATCAAGTAGATTGAGGATTAACAAAAGGACAAACCAATTGCTGTAGCAACCGCTCATTGCTGTGCAACAAACTACAGGATTCCTCTCCCCACTCCCATGGGCAAGTGGTGTGTTCCTGTGAAACCATTTTGTTTTTCAATCCTCGTCCCAGAGCATTTTAGAGAGAGGAAGGGGGAGAGACAGACAGAGAGACATTGATGCGAGAGAGAAACATCGATCAGTTGCCCTCCGTCCGGCTGGGGATCAAACCCGAAACCCAGCTATGCGTCCTGACTGGGAATTGAACCGGCAACTTTTAGGTGCACCGGCCAACGCTCAACCAACAGAGCCTCTCTGGCCCCGCCCTGTGGAATCTTTCCTATGCTGAAATGGTACAGCAAAGAAGCGATCACCGTTAATCTTGTTTTGCAATAACCATGGGTTTATGTGAAAAAATTTTTGAGCAGTCCCAGACCAAAAAAATGAACTTCCAATCACACCAACCAACACACAACACCTAAAATAGCACTAACGCATAGTAAAAGCCGCGCCAACCTTGCTGCTGGCGTCCCTACTGCCTCTGTAATGGCTCGCTGCTAGCCATTCACAACACTATTTTCCCCAAAGTGAAAATCCTTTTTGGATTTCTTTCGGTTAGCAGAAACAGGTACTAATGTAGGTCTTGCGTATAAGGCAGCGGTTCTCAACCTGTAGGTCGCGACCCCTTTAGCAGTCGAACGACCCTTTCACAGGGGTCGCCTAAGACCATCCTGCATATCAGATATTTACATGACGATTCATAACAGTAGCAACATGACAGTTAGGAAGTAGCAACGGAAATAATTGTATGGTTGGGTCACAACATGTGGAAGTGTATTTAAAGGGCCAGACGGTTGAGAACTGCTGGATTAGGGAAATGATGTGCTGTGAACTTTCAAAACTCGAGGGACACTTGTACCA